CCCCCCATTCAGATGTCATTTTGGTGAATTGTCTGTTCAAAGTTTTTGCCTATGTTTTTACTCGATTCTTTTTTTTTCTCCTCCTTACTGAGTTTTGAGAGTTCTTTATATATCTAGATACGGATTCTTTATTGGACATGTGTTTTGCAAATATTTTTTCCTCAGTATTTTCATTCTCTTAGATTTCCTCAGTTATTACTTAATGCCCCTTTACTATACAGGGATCCGCTGAGGGACATTACATTTAGACATCATGTCTCCTTGGGCTCCTCCTGACTCTGATGGTTTCTCAGAGGTTTTTTTTTTTGGATGACTTTGACAGACTTAAGGATTAAAGGTTATTTTGTAGAGTGTCTCAATTGAGATTTGTCTGATATTTTTCTCATTCTTAGACTGGGATTATGTATTTCTGGGAAGAAGATGACAGAGGTCAGGTGTCATTCTGATCACATCGTGGGTACACTCTGTCAGCGTGGTTTATCACTGGGTGTTGACCTTGACTGCGTGACCGAGGTCATGTTTGTCAGGTTTTTCACTGTTAAGTTACTCTTCCCCCTATTCATGTTGTGCTCTTTGGAAGAAAGTCAGTGTGCACCACTCTCGTTTAAGGAGTGGAGAGTGATGTTTTGTCTACCTTCTTGAGAATGTATAGTGATATCATACTATGGTTTTAATTTTCATTTCCCTAGTGATGTTGAGCATCTTTTCTTGTGGGCTTTCCCCCCCCATTCAGATGTCATTTTGGTGAATTGTCTGTTCAAAGTTTTTGCCTATGTTTTTACTCGATTCTTTTTTTTTCTCCTCCTTACTGAGTTTTGAGAGTTCTTTATATATCTAGATACGGATTCTTTATTGGACATGTGTTTTGCAAATATTTTTTCCTCAGTATTTTCATTCTCTTAGATTTCCTCAGTTATTACTTAATGCCCCTTTACTATACAGGGATCCGCTGAGGGACATTACATTTAGACATCATGTCTCCTTGGGCTCCTCCTGACTCTGATGGTTTCTCAGAGGTTTTTTTTTTTGGATGACTTTGACAGACTTAAGGATTAAAGGTTATTTTGTAGAGTGTCTCAATTGAGATTTGTCTGATATTTTTCTCATTCTTAGACTGGGATTATGTATTTCTGGGAAGAAGATGACAGAGGTCAGGTGTCATTCTGATCACATCGTGGGTACACTCTGTCAGTGTGGTTTATCACTGGGTGTTGACCTTGACTGCGTGACCGAGGTCATGTTTGTCAGGTTTTTCACTGTTAAGTTACTCTTCCCCCTATTCATGTTGTGCTCTTTGGAAGAAAGTCAGTGTGCACCACTCTCGTTTAAGGAGTGGAGAGTGATGTTTTGTCTACCTTCTTGAGAATGTAGTACCTACATGAGCTGTTTAGCCCTTATTATCTTTTATATTTCTGTGGGATCAGCACCAGTATTCCCTCTTTCATTCTTGAATTTGTATCTTTTCTTGCTTTTCTTGTATCACGAGTACACACAGGAGGTCAGGAGGAGCCCACGGAGACATGACAACTAAGTGTAATGCTCCTTGGTGGAACCCTGGAACAGCAGAAGGATATTAAGTAATAACTGAGGTAGAGGTTTATCAATTCCATTGCTTTTCTTTTCCTTTTTCTTCTTAAAGAATCCAGCTTTTGGTTTCATTGATTTTTTTTTACCCTCTGTTTTTGTTTTAAATTTCATTGATTTATTTAATTATTTCTTAATGTGTACTTTGATTTTATTTTGTTTGTTCTTTTTCTTGATTTTATTGCATAAAGTGAGATTATTCATTTGAGATCTATCTAATGAAAACTTTTTATGCCATAAATTTCCGTCTAGTATGGTTTTACCTGTATCCCACATATTTAGATGTTTTATATTTTCATTTCCATTCATTTTCTAATTTCCTTTGAGACTTTCTTTTTGGTCCATGTATTAAGTATTGATTGACTTCCAAATATTGGAGATTTTTCAGATATCATTCTGTTATGGATTTCCAGTTTAATTCTATTAGTGTTAGAGAACATGCTTTGAATAATTTCAATAACTTTGTACTTCAGTGTTTTTTTGTGACTCCCAAATTCGATCTGTCTTGATGAATGTTCCATTTGCATTTGAAAAGAATGTATTCCTTCGTTGTTGGATAGACTATTCCTTAATATCAGTTAGTTTTAGTTAGTTGATCTGTTGTTCAAGTCTACTGTAATTGGACAGGAGACTGTCGTTTAAGGAGTGGAGAGTGATGTTTTGTCTACCTTCTTGAGAATGTAGTACCTACATGAGCTGTTTAGCCCTTATTATCTTTTATATTTCTGTGGGATCAGCACCAGTATTCCCTCTTTCATTCTTGAATTTGTATCTTTTCTTGCTTTTCTTGTATCACGAGTACACACAGGAGGTCAGGAGGAGCCCACGGAGACATGACAACTAAGTGTAATGCTCCTTGGTGGAACCCTGGAACAGCAGAAGGATATTAAGTAATAACTGAGGTAGAGGTTTATCAATTCCATTGCTTTTCTTTTCCTTTTTCTTCTTAAAGAATCCAGCTTTTGGTTTCATTGATTTTTTTTTACCCTCTGTTTTTGTTTTAAATTTCATTGATTTATTTAATTATTTCTTAATGTGTACTTTGATTTTATTTTGTTTGTTCTTTTTCTTGATTTTATTGCATAAAGTGAGATTATTCATTTGAGATCTATCTAATGAAAACTTTTTATGCCATAAATTTCCCTCTAGTATGGTTTTACCTGTATCCCACATATTTAGATGTTTTATATTTTCATTTCCATTCATTTTCTAATTTCCTTTGAGACTTTCTTTTTGGTCCATGTATTAAGTATTGATTGACTTCCAAATATTGGAGATTTTTCAGATATCATTCTGTTATGGATTTCCAGTTTAATTCTATTAGTGTTAGAGAACATGCTTTGAATAATTTCAATAACTTTGTACTTCAGTGTTTTTTTGTGACTCCCAAATTCGATCTGTCTTGATGAATGTTCCATTTGCATTTGAAAAGAATGTATTCCTTCGTTGTTGGATAGACTATTCCTTAATATCAGTTAGTTTTAGTTAGTTGATCTGTTGTTCAAGTCTACTGTAATTGGACAGGAGACTGTGTTTGACAGGGATCCCCCATCTGTTATTGTCTATCTTTTCTCTTGGGTTGATTAGTCTCCCACAGGGGAAGTTTGACTCCCAGTGTTCTGGGAAGGAGGGTTGGGGTCCTGGAGTTCAGTCTGTCCTTTTACTTACTGCTCTTTGCTGCCCTGGTGTTCCATCCACACCCTCTTTGATGTTCTGTTGGTGTGGGAGTGGGGAGGAGACCAAGAGTCTTTTCCATCCAGACATCCAGCCAGGCTTCCTTTGGACCTGCTTGTGTCTGCATCTTGGGAGTATCCAGTTCCTTCCTGTCCTGAGCCTCCCTGGGTCCTCCCCTCGCCTCCCCCATTCCCAGCCTAGCAGACATTGAGCTTTCAGGTTGGACAGTCCTCTACCTGCTTCCTGGCTTCTTGCATTTTGTCACCTTCTCTCTGGCACTGTTTCTGCTGTGTTTTCTTTGCCCTTGTAGGTTTATGCCTTATTTAAAAACAAAACAAAATTTAAAAAACCCAACTCCTTTATTCTCTATTTAATGGTATTTTTGAAGGGAGTAGAGGAAAACATGTGTTTTCATTGTCTACTTTAGTTCTATGTCCCACTTCTGGCTTTTTGTGTTTGTTAACCTCGGAGCTTCTTAGGGGCTCTCTTGATCAGGCCTACTTCTCATGTTTCATGTTTCATGTTTTTTTTTTTTTTCCTTTTTGTCTTTTTTACCGACTGGTAACGGGATCGCAACCCTCGGTGCCGCGCCCGCACCGGGGACCAGCAACGGGATCGCAACCCTCGGCGCTGCGCCCGCACCGCGCTCAGCCAGTGAG